TGATAATGCCCTGATTGCTTTTGTTATCTAAAAGAACATCTAATTATTATTATTATTATTATTATTATTATCCTGTTTTGAACACCAACGCCATTTCTGTAATTTATTTCAACATAGCCCTCATTGGGATGTGCCAGTTTGGATCGTTTCGGATGGGAATGTTTAATTTGTGACAAATAGTTAGCTAAATGAAAGCTTTAATCCACTGCACCACCTTTCTCGAAATTGGCTCCTTTCTTTTAAATTCAATACCCCCACCACTTTCCATCCTACAATAGTAGTAGCCAGGAGAAATTGGGAAGTTCAAATACCTTTGTATTTTTTGTCATTTCCTACCACGTTTTGCATATTTTTTCGATTGGGCAAACCGAAAAAATTCACTACTGTTTGTATTCCAACAGACGGTAATTTCCCAATTTTCGAGAATACCACGTTATCCAAAGAAAATCAGGTTTCATTTTTCCTTACATTTTAGTCGTATTCGCTATACAGTAACTTTTTGCTAAATGTGGCGTTACGTCATTTCTTTTCACTCATCCGTCCAATTACAGCTCTATTGGTCAACTTTCCTAAAATATTTGTCAAGTTTCCAGGTCGTCAAATTACCTGCATCATTAATAAGAAAATTTCCTTCGCTATGCTTTCAGTATCGGAGTTTCTCTTGCAGTGTAAAACACCTTAGACTGCTAAGTAACACTTGAGGTCTCGTTAGTTTTGGTTATATAAGTGAAAATATGCTATGACTGTGTATTTGTTTTCTATCATCGCTAAATATCTGAATGAAGGGAGATGAAGCGTTGTACCATAAAGATTATTCCGAAAGCTTTCTCACACCTTCCAGCCAAAAAGACAACATTTCCAGGAAAATAAACTATGAAAGATGATGTCCTTCAGGGAATGACACAGGTATACTCAAGAAAAAAAGAACTAGGTGTGCTAAAATTAGGAGTCGGACCTGCGACCGTCCGATAAGTACTTCAGATGCCCTTCCATTGAGTTGTAGGAGACTCGTGGCAGGTCGGTGAACTGAGTCTATGATAACAAACTTCCTTCATACTGCTAGGATAGGAATGTCGATTGTGAGGTGAGAAAAGCCTGTTTTTATTCATGGTAATTTGGTTTGATATTTGAAAAAGGATATAATGAAGTAAATATAAGGAAGAAGTTGAATTGATATAAGCAAGCGTTGGATGTGTCAGCAGGCTTAGAAGAAAAATAACATTATTCAAACAATATAAAAAGAAAACTGACGTCACCAGACTAACTACATATGCACATGATTCCCGGAAACGCTTTCAGATAAACCCCTTTTCCAAGATATTATTAAATCTAGCAATGGGAAAGGAATTTTCAATTTGAATAGGAAAATCAGTTTGCGGTTTAGATGGAGGAATGTCTTTTAAGGTCAATTACATTCTGTTGCCGCCAAATTATTTGGCGTTTCGTTTTGAGGTTTTTTTTTTTATTTTGTGTTCACGAACGTTACTTTTACCGATATTCTGTTACTTTTTTTTGGCATAATTTTTATTCGTTTGTGTCATTGATATAAAATCTTTACCGTAAATTTAATTCATTCGGCCTTATCGTTTAACTTGTACTGTGCTATCGTTTTCTTCATCGTTTGATGTTATCTTTAACCAGCCGAGATCTCGTACAACGTTTATAAGTATCTTTGTTGTCCTTTGTCCTTTTGCCAATTTCTTTACGTATAATTGTAAAAACTTGTTATTTGTTATCCTATTTTGGCGACCGCTTGAAATGTTCATTTCACTCCAATTGTCACTTTCGCTTCAATTTCAAGTTTATTTCGTTTGTTGAAGAATATCAAAGATTGTGTGTCGGAAAAGTACGAGAGACTTTAAAAGTCTTTACGAGACCCTTGATAAATCTTGATCTGACATATGAAGTCATCGTTCTGAGTATCACTGAAAGGACTGGGTTTTCAACAACGATCAGGAAAATAACATATTTATATCCTCTAATGCGACTCACACCCCTTTGAAGAGTACTTTAACAACACTGCATTGAACAGTTCACTTTTTTTTTAATCGTTTATCGTCCTGTTCCGAGAAGATTAAAACGTCCAACAGTTTACAGGTGTCATAATAAAGTCAGCTCATTCTCCCCAGTCCTTTCAAGACCATGAGTGTTGGTCCGATTAGGCTCTTACCGATAGTGCTAGCACTTTTTTTTTTAGCATTATTTGGCTTCGTGAGCATTTTTTTAAACATTTTATCCTAAAAAGCACTGCTAGCATTATTTTGGATTTCCGACTGATTATTTATATAGTTTTGTGTTGAAAAGCACAATCTGACTTTATTAATGTCGTCCAAAGCCGCATTTTGCCATCATTTTAGTCAAAGGAGCCGAGGAGGCCTGGGAATAGGTTTGATAGGTCAGCGGTTGCCTTCTAGAAACCCAGTTCATCACACTCGTTCCAAGACGGCGTCATTCACGTTGTCATCGAGGAACAATGGAAGTCAGCCAGCCAAGGCAGAGATAGCTCGAGAGCGTACTCTGCCATCAATCAGTGGAAGAATATTCTATGTTTAAAAAAATCGGAAAAAAGTGAGCATTTTTATGTAACCCACGAGCGCTTTTTAAAAAAATTAGCATTATTTTAGCACTTTTTTGGCAAAAAACAAGCACTGCTTTAAGCATTTAATACTTTTTTTACGAGCACTATCGGTAAGAGCATAGGTCCGGCCTGGGACCTGAACCCTTGACCTCCTACATGGCAGTCCGGCGCTCTACAACCTAAGCAGGCGGCGGTTTAACGACCATCACATCACCGAAAAAAAAAAAAAAAGGATGTTTTTGTCATTGTGCTATACTCTGCATTAGTGAAAATGGAAACCGAAAAGATGTTATATCCGGCTGTCTCAACTTGACGTATAAGCAATGAAACAGCATAGCTACAAAATAGAATCATTGATCACGAAATAAACAATGACACACGATTTTCTGTTTCGAGTACCATGAGTTTATATTCAGCTTCAATCCTGCCGGTGATACCAAGTGCACCGTTTTGTTACACACTTGTGGGCAAATCACATTTTCACAGGAGTTAAGGTGAGGACAGAATAAGTTACTAGCGACCTAATGCAGTGAATGAGATAAATGGGTATTGACTAAAGATACGGATTGAAATAATTTAAAACATGAGACAAAAGAAGCAAAAGAAATATTAATCTTGTCTGCTCGTCACGAACGCAAGATCGAATCTTAGATCATCAAATTTTACGATCTGAAGTTCTCACATATAACTATAGATTTCTCGTTCATGAGCCGTGACATACAGTGGATACATAAAGGATCATCCTGCATACTGCTAAGATCATCATTCATGTCTTAAAATACATAATGATAGAAAGGAAATTTCAAGCTCTTTCGTGACGAGGGAAAAAATCATTTTTACCGACGACCGAAAAAAAAACCCTATCCGTCAGATCAGGTTAAACCACAGATTAAACATCAATGCTTACATGTAGATAAACATACCAGACCTTGAGGTAGCTTATTCATCTTCCAATGAGGGGTTTATGAAGCTGTAGCATTTCTGATTCCAGTATCATGTGCGTCACTTGTCCGTACGAACTGTTACACAATTATTTATGCATCCAAACTCAGCAAAGAATTCTGCAGATCAAAGAGACAGAGAGTTAGGACCTCAGATTTCTCTTCCAACTTAAAGACAACTGGTTCAGAAACAATTTATCCATAAAATTCCTGTAGGATACACTGAGGGTTTCTGTACACAAAGATGCATGGAGTACATAGATTTAACAAATTGTGAATATCTTTCTCGGATATTTCTTTCAGAAGAGTACTTATGGTATTCGCTTTAATTCTTTCCAAGACGCAAAACGATTTTATTAATGTAATTTCTTTAGCTTTGTATCTCCCTCTGGTGATTTCACTGGACACCAGCGCTTTTGACTGCAAAAATAATTAGGGCAGAATTGGCGGGAGTTATTTACAAGAAAAAAGCTTACCGTTATTATTTACGAACTTTATGAAGTTGTCACGGTGAGAGCAGAAAATGAAAATTTGAGAGAACTGTAACGCTAATGGGAAGATGACCAAAAACACATGTGTATCATATTGAACGAGGGATATATTGAGTTGATCACTTGAAGAGAAATTGCATTGGTACAATATAACTCACGGTGTAAATTCACCCTCATCTATTTAGTTATGGCAGAGTGTGACATGTCCTGCTCTGAGAAGAAAAGGGGTTTTGCGGATTGCGAGTGT